ATTGCTTTTAGTAATGTCCCTGCTTTTTGAATCAGAAATAAATTCAATACCTTTGGAGATGGGTAAAGGAAACACCCAAACACTGGGTTTGTGTCCCAAACAAGATCCAAACTGGCAGAGAGTGGCTGCACCAAATCCAAGTTTCTGAGCACATTCCCTTCAGCCCCAAAGCAGGGAACCCAGAATAGCACCAGGGTGATGCTGCATCGTCTGTGAAGCTGCTCAGACAACAGTAGCAGGCTGCAAGCTGCAGCCAAAATCCTCCTCAACACAACGATCTCACTGAGCAGAGGATGTTCCAGGCAATAAATTTATAAGGACTGTCACAAAATCAGCCTGGAAAGGGCAGAAGATTCCCAAAGAGGCATCCCAAGGTCAATGCCAGTAAAGCAGAGGATTCTCTTCGTGAGACAGCAACACCCAAAGTGCTGAGGGGGACTTAAATTTTTTTTCAGCCTGACAGAATTTCTATTATTTCTAAATACCTCAAAAACTCCCCATAACATGAATCCACATATTCAACAGTTGTGTGCCAAAACGTGAATGCCAATTTTTTTAATAACCAGAAGTCTTTATAACACTGCTAAATCAAAATTTAAAAAACCAGAACAACTAGGCCACAGAGCAATTTAAGCCACTACATACATGCTATTATCCATAACTAACAAAATAAAAGTTATTAGCATGCTACAAAATATGCCAAGGTAATTTTTAAGATTTTTTAAAATTAATTTTATGGTGTTACCCAGACTTTCCATGACTTAAAAGATTCGGTGTGAAATAAACAGCTCTGTTTGTGACATTAGTTGATAACTTTGAGATAAAATAGAGCACTTGGCACCACATTTTCTACAAGGAAAAGCTCATGTAGGCTACTTATTTTCCTTTTTCCATTTATGTCTAAATGCTCCCTACCAAAACTATCAGCTTTTTTTCTGCCTTTTTCCCTGCAACAATTGCTCTCTATATCTCTGACTTCATGCTTTTGAAAGAGTAGATGACAATATTTTTTAAGAAAATCATAGAGAAACGCAAAGCAGACAGCATCTATACCGACTCAGTGTTCCAGCATTTTGTAGGAGCTAGACAGAGATGTTTGCCTTGAAGAAAAGAAATAGGATCCCTGGTGGTAGCAAAAATATATGACCACATTCTGTTTTGTTGGGTTTTTTTTTTAATCAAATAAGCCAAATATAATAATAGGGACATTTTATTTCCATTTGACATTAAAGTTTAAAAAAAAAAAAACATTTCATGAGATAGTGCTTCTAGAATAGAAGAATAGTAGACTATTTTAGCCTGTTTCATTCTAATGAAAAAGCAATTTAACAGCATCCTCAATCTTGCTTAGACTGGGAAACAAATTAAATCTGACACTTTCCAATATTTTTCTGATTTCTAGACCAGACTAACTGGATATCACATAGGTGAACAGAATCTCTGGGAGGTTTTTTGGATAAGGTGTAAGATCTTAAAATAATGCTAAACAATGTTCAAATGACAGGCAAAGTTATGAACAATTTTTGCTTGTTTAACTTAGAAACGTGAGGTGAGCTACCTGGAGTTTATTGAATACAGTTACAAATACTTTTCTCCTCAGTCTATCACAAAGCTTTTTGCAGGTCAGCAACAAATCTGTCACTGTTTTAAGCTCTGGAAATCAGGACAATGGAAACCCAGCAACTTTTAAGCTATGATGAATGTCAACACTGCTTTTTTCAGTTTTTACGTGTGAGGGAACTGAGGGACACACAAATCACTGACTCTTAGTGAGCAGACACAAACTGGAGAGAGCAGGACTCCTGCTACTGCTCAACCAAAAATCCATTAAAAATAACCTCAACATACATATTTCTTTACAGCACGAGCGTTGACATTTTTCAGACACCCTCATGAATGAAAATGGCAAATGGAGCCAACCCACACTGACAGAGAAACACATTTAAACTCCCACCTCTCACAGCTGAGATGACCACGACCCACAGAGCATCACCAACCAACTGCAGAAGGCTTCAGCCCATGCACCACACCTCTCAGAAGGCTACAAGGAGCTGCCCTGGCTGTCCTTCAGCCTTTTATAGCCCTCCTGCAGTGCACCTGTGTGCCCTCTGCTCCCGGTGTGACTGGGCAGCACCCCTGGGCTGGCTCATTATCGTTAATTGTAATCACCTGTGCTGCACAGCTGGCGCCAATTAGGGATCAGGCTCAGCTGCAGCCCCTCTCCCAGTCACCACCAGCTGTGTGCCCACACCCACCCAGTACCACCAGAATACACCCGAATATTTCTACCACGTCCAGTCTAGCTCCTGTTCCCCTTCATCCTTATCTAGAATCCTTTTACTCTAAACCCCAAAGCACCTCATTAAATTCCTCATTAAAGCACCATTCCATTTACACAGAGGGCAGCTAATGTCATCAACCAAAACCAGTCTAAATCCATGGCAGATTTATTAATTCCCAAATAACCTGGAAGCAGCCTCATACCGTCAGCCTCGCATATTGACACTAACAGTGAAAAAGTGAACACACCTCACTGCTCTTCCCATATTTATGTAATACAAATTGATGTCACAACTTGTAGCTCAAATATCTCCTCTCATGAATTATTCCCCTTCATTAACTCCACATATTTCATCCTAAGCCACACAAGTCAGCAGAAGCAGCCTCACTGAGGGTTTCTTGAATGATAGCGCTTCACAGTCTCTCTGTCACTGCTGAGCCACTGCATGACTTAATACATGGAATTTAAAATGGTTTTCTTTAGTGGTCAGATGCAGAAGCAGCAAATGGCACAACCTACATGCTGTTAATCCCACATATTAAAGCTTTACATTCCTGTGCTTTAGAACCCTGGGTATCTCCTGAAGCAGGGATAAAATAATTTCTCCATGGGCTTTTCATTATTTTCTGACCACAATCCCACCAATTCTTCAACACTCTTCAAAAGGTTAGGTGAAAAGGTATCCTGATTTGTAGCCTTGAGTTCTAAAGGCAATGGCAGTGTCATATTTCTATATGAAAATACCCTCTCCCTAATATCTTTCCTGGTACTGACACGGGCTACTGTAAATAACAGACTTTTTAAAAAACCAAGCAAAAACCTCTTTGCTGCTTTGGGTCTTTTGTGATGTTTCTACTCCATGTGCCCAGTTGGCTTCAGCACTTCATTTTCTAATATATAAAAACATAGCAAAAATATACCAAAGTGATAAAAACCTACTGCTAGATCTCAAGAGAGCACCTAGCTCTATACCCAGATATTTATGGGTAAATAAAGCTGTGCTTTTATTACCCAAACTGCTGCCTCATGTCTGTCCCAAATGATTTGCTTAGAACTAGTGTCAGCACAGCTGCGAAACCCCATGGAATTCACTGTTCTGGTACTTACACCAGCTTCTACGGCTAAATTCTTTTTTTAGGTTCTGGCCATGCCTTTCTGTACGTGCCCTAAGAATCATCTTCCTTACTATTAACATCCACTGGAGATCTGTTGGAAAGCCAGATAACAATTATTTAGTTAACCCACAAAACCTTTGTATGGGCATTAACAGGTAATTTGAGGCTTTTTTTTTAGATATCACTAGCACCATCATAATTTGAAACAAAGAAATTATAAATTCAAGGTACAGGTGTTCTGTTTATTACTATCTTTGTTCTAAAAACTAAAAACTCCAAGAATAATTAGGGTGTGCTGTTACTATCTAGACATGGAACAAATTAAGGCAGGTCAAAATTTCGTATCTCCTCCCTGATAAATCCATTACTGTCCTGAAGACTGGAAAAGACCTTCAAGATCATCCCAGCACAACCCCCAAACCAGCACACCACCCAGGCACCTCTTGAACACACAGCAGAATTTATTTTAAAAAGCCAACCAACCAAAAAGAGTAACTTTTGAGAGACATTCTGGTGACCAAAAAAGAGTGACAGACTTTGGAGAGATGTTCTGGTGACCAAAAAAAATATGACAGACTTTTGAGGGACGTTCTGGTGACCCAAAGGTCGTCTTGGGTTTTTCCCCTAAATGAAGAGACAGATTTGAGGGGGTTTGGTTTTACTTATTTATTTAAAACAAAGAACAGTTTTGGTAATTTGGGGTTGGGGTGAGATGAGAAATAGAGTTTGAGGGAGCGGGGGGAAGCACAGGTGATTCCCGGGAGAAGACAGGTGACAACCAGGATTGCACAGGGCACTCCCGGGATAGCACAGGGCATTCCCGGGATAGGACAGGGCACTCCCGGGATAACTCAGGGCACTCCCGGGACAGCACAGGGCATTCCCGGGATAACTCAGGGCACTCCCGGGATAGCACAGGGCATTCCCGGGACAACACAGGGCATTCCCGGGATAGGACAGGGCATTCCCGGGACAGCACAGGGCACTCCCGGGATGGCACAGGGCATTCCCGGAGTAGCACAGGACATCCCTGCATAACACAGGGCACTCCCGGGATAGCACAGGGCATTCCCAGGACAGCACAGGGCACTCCCGGGATAGCACAGGGCATTCCCAGGACAACACAGGGCACTCCCGGGGTAGCACAGGACATCCCTGGATAACACAGGGCACTCCCGAGCTCCGGCGCGGCCCCAGCCCCGGTCAGTGCGGGCCTCCCTTCAGTCGCGCCGCCGCCGCCGCTCTGCAGCCCGCAGAGCCTGCAGCGGGCCGCGGCCCTCCGCTCACCGGCAGCGCCGGGGGCGTTCGCTCAGCACCGGCCCCGGGAAACACCGGAAAACACTGGGATTCACCGGGAAGCGCCGGGGAACACCGGGCCCCTCAGGCCGGGGCCGCCCCCTCCGCGCCGCCAGGTGTCGCTGTCGCCGCCGCCAGCCGGAAGCGCCGCTCCGGCCGCGCGCGGGCTCTGTGGTGAGGCGCCGTTGATGGCCGCGGCCCGCCGGGCCGCGCGGACGCACGGAACCCACGGCCGGGACCGGCACGGCGAGACACAGCCCGCACGGCGGGACACACACCGCGGGGAGGTACCGGCACGGCGGCACGCAGCCCGCGGGGAGGTGGCGGGGCGGCCCTGAGGGCGGGCGGCCGGCAGCGGAAGGACCGGGCCTTCCTTTCCCCGGGACATTGTTAGGCCGGCCTGGGGCAGGCTCCTCCTCGGCGGTGCTGCCCCTCAGAGAGCTCGGGCCGGGCGCTGAGCGCTGGGTAACGTGGGCCAGGTGCACACACAGACCTCGGGGATGGCGCTTCCGAGCGCTTTCCTCTTTCCGCCGGGGAGAGCCCGCAGCAAAAGCGGCCGCGTGCTCCTCCCACGGGGGGCAGAAACTGCAGAAGCTCCCACCAGGAATTGCTGCGGATTGATGGATGAGATCCCCAAGTTCCGTCAGCAGCCCTGTCATTTGAACCTACCGAGGTGACAGACGTGTTGTGCTTTTAATATAGGGAATGTCACATAGCATAGTCAGCGGGCAGAACAGATACCTGACTTTTTTTCCTTAGAAGACAAATTAGGTTTCTCAATAAGAACATTTTCCAAGAGTCCTGACTTACAGTCCACGTGCAAATGTTGAAAATTCAGACTATCACTTGTATATCGGCGTGTTGTGTTTCAGCCGCACACACGAGCCCCACCTTCCACAGCAGGAATCGGTCAAAAATGCACGTTAGCACTGGCAGCAGGCTGGGTGTAACAGACTTGAGTAAAGTCACTTGGTATTGCCTGAATTGCTGTTCAGATGTTAACTCGGCTGCAGTGAACTTTGGTCATTAACAGCTCCAGTTACCTTGGCTTGAAACACTGACTTTGTGCAGCTAATAAAAAGATATTGTCGTTAGATCTGGTTCAATGAGATGGTGAAGTTTGATAGGTGGTCTTTTAAAAAAGATTAAAAATCATTCACACACCAGCTACTGTGAGGAATTTTACTCTCTCCCAGACACAACCAGTACACTGCTTTTCCATTTTTCTGGGTTTTGCCTTTTCAGAACAGGATGTAGGTGAGCATAAACATTCCAATTAAGATACACTCATTGTAATTAACACTCTTGGAGGATTTAGAGCAAGTGATTCCTTTCTTTTGGTAGAGGTTTGTTTTTTAAGTTGTGGTGGAAAATAGTGCAAGGTGGGCTCGGGCTGTGGTGTGTTAGGGCCAGCACTGGGCTAGCAACAAACAGGGTGTGAGACCTAAATTATTTTTACTTTTAACCCAGTAACCAATTATCCGTGTCCTGCAATGGGGACTTTTTTATCTAATGACACAAAACCACCCAAAGCCATGGAGGAGAAGGTGAAGAAGGACCAGCCTCCACCCTAAAACCTCCATCTTGCTTTAGATATATTGCTGTATTCTAAAACCTTAAACTCCCAAGTCTTCCAGCCTGTGATATTACACACAAACTACACACCCATAATCCCAGGTCTATCATTCAATTCTGGAAGTCTTTCCTGCAGTCTTAGGTCAATGCAGTGTTCTCTTGGGGGTCAGTGCCTGGCAGCACAGAAAGGCTGAAATTCTCAGCAGCCAGGGTTCCAAATCAGTCTGTAGTGGCTCACTTGGCATTTGGTAATTTAATTTGGTATTAGTGTATAAGTGTGAAATAACTGCCCAACAGGGGGCTGCACACAAAGGCCACATGACCCCAAAAATGCACACATCTGGAAGTGCCAGTCTTCGTGCATAGCCCAGCCTGGCTCTTGGAAAGGCTCAGGTTGATCCAGGGTGTTGACCTGCACCTGATACAGCTGGGAAAAACGTACAGGAAAGTGCTGCTGGATGGGCACTGCTGACTGACACCAGCCAGCCTGTGCAGCCCACCTCCTGCAGCTTTCTTCCCCCTTAGAAACTCCTTAGGTGAATTGTGTAGCCAGCAGCAGTCCCTTTCTGTGGGCAGTCAGACTGGGGGTTGTCCCAAGAGAGGGGGTCCCCAGGAAAACCAATGACCAAATCTGTGTGAACAATTCATCCACCTTGCTCCCAGATTGCTTTTGAGACAGTCATGCTGCTAAACATTTTGAACAGATACTTACTTTAGCCAGAAAAAAAAAAAAGCCTCTGAAAGGAATAGGAAATGCATGGTTTAGTTCTAGAATAAATTTTAGTTTTATTTGGAGTAGAAGGCTATAATTTCTTTACATGTTTTTTAAATTAGTTAAATCTAGTCTGTCACGCTTATGGATTAAAGTTTGCACTGCAAATCTGATTGATTTTAATGTTTTCTCTAGGGAGATCTTCACAGAAACTCCTAAAGGCTTCAAAGATTTATTTTGGGCAAAATAAATGAGATAAGTTGTTTTGATAAAGTAAAATGGATCCTTGTTCAGTTGGAGTTCAGCTCCAGGCTACCAATGAATGCCACAAGATCTATTACACCCGTCACACGGGCTTCAAGACCAAACAAGATATCTCTTCCTCTGACCTCCTGCTGCTTCAGCTGAGGACTGGGATAACCCTGTCAGAGAACAACACAATCTGCCTCCACCATGCCAAAGTTTACATTGAGAGGTTTGAAGACTTACAAAAATCCTGTTGTGATCCCTTTAACATCCACAGAAAAGTGTCAAAGAAAAACTTGCGAGCAATTGACTTAGACGATGCGGCTTTTCTGAGTGCCAAGTTTGGGAGGCAGTTTGTTCCTGGTTGGAAGCTTTGTCCCAAATGCATGCAGATAATAAATGGAAATGTGGATGTGGAACCTGAGGAGCGACAAAGGAGAAGGCTGGATCCAGATGTATGTATATGGATCAATTTTTCCATCCCCTCTGAACTCTGCAAGCTATTACAGTTCATATAACTACTACACAAATTAAATTATTCTCTCATAGAAATAATAAAGGATGTAGTCTTTTAGATGTGCAGGAGTTTGCTGTATTTAAACCTTTGTTTGGAGAACCTTAATCTTCTCTAATTAAATAATATGGCCTCTAAGTTTTGAAAAATTGTGTCTACTTATAATTTCATGTAAATACCAGACTGCTAATGTTCTGGTATTTAGACTTAGACTTCGCTAAGACTCTTCCCTATGCTTTTCCCGTACTTGACACTTTTGTATTTGAATGCACCATGTTTCTTTAACCAAGAGACAGGTCACCCAAAGGTGGAATACAAATAGTGATGTAAAAAATCAAATTTGGTAAGCTGCAAATACATGTCACACTTACTGGAATGCACGTAACATCAAAATCTATAAATCAGCACTGTTCATAGTTGTTACATTTGTCCTTTACTCTTCCAGTCTATTCAGATAGTAAAAGGAATCAATATTTTAAGCTGTTACTCAAGCCATGCAAACAGCAAACTCCTGTGCTTGAAACTGCGTGCTGCAAAAGTTGCTTCTGAAGATGTTTCCAGTTAAAAAGGAAAAAAAGGCGTTTCTGTTGCAGTTCATTACGAAATGAGCCTGCATGGAGGTGCATTAAGTGTACTCCTGGTGCCTGGGCTCTGAAGGCCGTGGCATTTGGTCAGGGGCACTGATGAACAGGTGTGGGAGGACACTTCTCCAGGTGCTGAGCTTGGAATGTGGCTGGTGCCTAGCTGGGTGCAGTGTTCAGGCTCTGCACAGGGAATCTGCACCCTGAGCAAAGAGGAGTTGCATTGTAGGAGCTGTTCCCCTGCTTTGTTTTTCAGTTCTATGCCAGTGGGATTAGGAGGATGATTTGAAAGCATTGATTAAAACTGCTACTACAAAGCTTGTTTTACTGGGGTTGGAGACAGGTGTAGTTCACCAGCATAAAGATTTTAAGTTGTTTCTCCTGGGAAATCATAGATTCATAGGTAGAGAATTCATCCAGCTTATTACAATATCCTTGACTGGATGTTCTGTTAAGAATGAAGATTTGTATTTATAACTAAGTGACATTTTCTCTTCCTTCAGGGGCGTACAGCTAAGGCTTTAAAGTCTCTCCAGTTTGCTAACCCAGGACGACAGACTGAGTTCACTCCAGAGACCAGTAAAAGGGAAAAAAGAAGGCAAACAAAAATCTCAGTGTTTAATTCAGACAGGTAATTTGTTTGCTGTAGTTACATTAACTTTCATTTGAAAATAAAATAGCCTTGATGGTCAGCCTGTAACATTATCTATATGGACGTTTGTGTGTATGGTTCTTGGTTTTAGGGATGTTGAATATCCCTCTCATTCCTGAGATAAATAGAAGATAAAACTTAGCTTACAGTTCATATTTCAGGCAAACACAAAAAGGTGTTTGTGAGGCACAATACTACACAGACCATAGATGTAGCTATTAACACATGCATAAACTAAAATTCTGATAAGACAAATTTGAATACTGTAAGATCAAGTAGGCTGCACTTAAAATATTGGTCATCATCTTTCTGTAAACTCAGTAATTACACTTGGTAAACAAAAGTGTGCAAGTTAGGACCTTACCTTCCTTTTGAAAAACAAAAAGTTAATATCCAAACTGGATAATACTGGATAACAAGTTACAACCTTCTAATGTGACTGAAAAAAAAAGACATTTTCTATTTGTCAAAATATACAAGAAATAATCACATAAGTGCGTTGTATCACATGAAGTGTACCTGTACCAGACAGAAACAGACACTAAATGTGCTGCTCACCAACTAAACATCCTTCCCTCTGTTTCTCCTGCTTAGTTTGGGCACAGAGTGGAGATACAGTTAGGACTGAGAAACGTTAGCAAATACAGTAAGGTATCTTTGAAATTAACAGTGTTAAAGTGAACACCTGAAGAATGCAAACTTCCCTCCTGTCCTGGTTTTGCATGGGAGGCATTGACAGAAGTGATGCAAAGCTTTTAGCCACTAGAAGGCTGTACATGCCTCTGTAAAAAACACATGTTAAAGATAAAAGAAAACTTCCTTTCTGGGCACTTCCTTTTTTCCTTTCTGGACTAAAAAAATCAGCGATTTGGCATCAAAACAAAAAGGGGATTTTAACAGGGAAAATACCTGTTTGTTTTTCATTGTACAGGCAAGTTATCCCAGCCAAGAGTAAGGTGTATGACAGCCAGGGGCTGCTGCTGTACAGCGGGATGGACCTGTGTGACTGCCTGGACGAGGATTGCCTGGGCTGCTTCTACGCCTGCCCCAAGTGCGGCTCCAACAAGTGCGGCACCGAGTGCCGCTGCGACCGCAAGTGGCTCTACGAGCAGATCGAGATAGAGGGCGGGGAGATCATCAGGAACAAGCACATGGGCTAGGGCCATGGGCATGACTCCATCCTGAGCGGATGGGCCACGCTTCGGTTCAACACAGCACATGCAGTGTTTAGTTTAGTTTCATGGAAGCTCTTGGGACTTGTCAGGACCACGTGACGAATGTGCTCACTTCCACAGTAATTTTCAGCGTGGTTGTGGACATAACGGTTCTGCTGTCTTTTCACACTTGAGTTCTGCACTGTAACTGCTTCTTACTCATCCAGGTGGGATCTCACTGAGCAGCTGTAGTCAAGTACAAGGTGCTGAATTCTAATGCGATCTATCCTGAGCCACTCACTATTCTTTCATACATTGTTCTGTGGAAGGTACCATCTCTGTGTATCCCTCATTTCTCCTTCTCAAATTCAGGACCTCGCAGGTTTTAATCTGTTCTATGTCAAAGTTCTCAATGAGTTGACATGCAGTATTAATAGAGTTCTCTTTCTAGTATTAATAGTGAATACTGTCTCTTCCATAGAGTATTGAAGCTACATCTGATCAATCCAATCCTGTTCACTTAAAAAGGAGTCAGAAGCATTTAGGTGTTCAGGTCTCATCCCAATTAGTGGGATTTGAGGTCAAGTTATCCTTATTAATTCATAAGGATATGAATTCATACAAATTTATATTAAAATATTGAAATTAACCTGTCAAGGCATTGTGTTAAAGTAATAAGTAATACTCTTGGTTTCTGTAGAAAGTAAAATATAAGTAAAATTGTTGGTTTCTGTAGAACAAAATTAAAATAATTTTGCTCTGTTATCAGTCTGTAATTGGACTGAACCAGTACTTCAGCAGCCCTCTCCCAGTTTTTTTCTTTTTACTGATTTTAAAGGTTTAAATGCAGGTGAAATGAACTTGAGTGTCTGTTTCCAAACCAAGATTATCTAGACTGTTACCAAAAAACCCAGATGAATGGAAAGTATCTTCAGTTGATACATTCTCTGTCCTCATAATATTAAACTTTTACACTATAACGAGGCTTTTGGAAAAGCTTTATAAATTAAATTTTAGTAACATTTTCATTCTTTGTATTTTTGTTGTGTTTTGTATAAATTTCCTATCCTTTGATGACTTGGAAGATCTGCATGTTTGTTGGGTCACATTATTTCAATAATACTGTTAAGTTCATGCAGACTTACTTGGTAAAGTTGTATAACCTTGCAATGTGCTCAGCAGATCTTTCTCTGTTCTGGTGTCATGAATGTTGCCTTGCCAAAATCCAAAGTTGTGCTTTGACTTATGCTGACATCTGCTGGTCCTGCTGGAGTATAAGCACTGAGATGCTACAGTTTTATTAAATCTGTTCTAAAAATAATCAGACTCTTTTTTTTTTTTTTTTTTTTTTGGTCAGAGCATTGGCAGTTGTTGCAGTGGATATCTCTTCTGTTTCATTTTTTAAGCAATCTTTTGACTTAGGTGAAAATATAAACAGGTAACTTCCAGGAGAGTGAGAGGGGAGAAGCTGGTTGAGTCATGTCATTTAAGTGTGGTTTTTTTTAATTAGCCCAGAGTTGGCAGTACCCACTGTTAATAAACTTAACAGGCTTCCATGTGTGTGATGAGTGCAATCCCTTCAGGCCCACAGCCAGATTTTGGATTCACTAACTACCAGTAATTTAAGGTGCCTAGAGTACAGAGTATTAGAACTGTATTTCTCCACCTCCATGAAGTCTGTGCAGAGGTAGTACATTCAGCTCTCATTTTACAGCTGCACTAGCAGGTGATTACTTTCCCAAATAAAACACTTGTTTCCTAACAATGCAAACAGTGAGCACTGTCCCTAAGGTCACTTAGGGTTTAGGTTTTTTTCTGGTAAAAAAATGACATTTTGGTGTTGGCTGTTCACATGTTCTCCTAACATATTTAAGACATTTCCACTTAACTGCATTTCCTAACATGCCTAGCCTGTAGTGTGTCACTGAGTTCAGTAGCATATTTTTATACAGTTCCATGTGCCCCACAACCATTTTCCTCTTAAAAGACATTGTTACATGTCAAACTTTACCAACTTGCTAGATTTAACCAGCTTACAGCATGAATTTCTCTTTTTGCTGTTTTTTATAAGCACAACACAAACTATTTTGTCATCATCTAACGTGAGTATGTGTGACTCCCAGCAGCACACGTACCCTCTGCCAGAATTACTCACAATTAAGCCTGTTAAACAGGACAGTGTTTTAATAGAGCCAAAGGAAACAATTACTTTCCATAAAATCCAAAATCCATAACCACTTGAAGCTCTGCATGCAGTGAAGCTAACTGCAGGTGTACCTCAGTGGCTGTGTTAAAACTTCCCTTTTGGTATTAATTGCAAAAATTTACGTCTTGGCAAAGTTTACACGTTCAAGGGACAAAAAGCAATGACAATAAAAGACTGGTTTATGAAGAATGCATATCCTGTGAATCAGTTTGGGTTTATTGAGCAGAAACCCCAGAATTATGTAAGAAATCAAGCTAGTCCTTAACACTACTTTCTCACACAGAGCAAACTTCACTTCAAGGTTAGAAAATGGTCAAATTTAACATCTTCAAAAGCCAGTGAGGGTTCTTCTGTTGACCCTGTGAGAATTGCTGCACAAACCTGTGGTCAGACCAGAGACAGGATGTGCCCTTTTGTAAAGCTGAACATTTAAAACCAATTAACTATCCCTTGGGATAATTTGTGTTAAATACTCAAATAACAATATAGTGCGTCAGGTAATTAACTCCGAGAAGCTTTACACTAACTTTTTCAGAATTATGCTACAAAAAGACATTTTTCTTTGGGAGTATATTATAGCCTTATCCTTAGACACAGCATGAATCTGGGTTTTTTAATCAGTTAATTCATTACTTCAGTAACAAACGTAAGACAACTTCTAACTTTTGAATCTCTTACCATTCAATATATCAGAGCTGGAAGTAGACAGATCTATACAAAAATTGTAATTTTGTAAATCCAGAAGTCAGAATTAAAGCTTCTAAAGGGAAAGAATAAAGCAGTTAAGGTGACAAATTTGTACCTATTTTAGATCTATTTTAATGTTCCTTTTATCCTTTTCTCATAGGCATTACTCGTATTAGCCAGCATGGACAACTACAGAAACCCTCTCACTGAAATCCCATAGTGACAGAGCTCCAGAGGGGTTCAGTGGGTATCTGTCCCTTGGTGTGTGACAGAAAGAGCTACAGCAGCCAGCATCAAGGCCTGAGTTCTCAGTCTCATGGCAAAACACAAACACACCATTGCCAGCTGTCATTTGTTCTCCCCTAAAATTCACCCTTTTCTTTTGTCGTATTTTTGTCTCAAGAAATGCAGTTCCAGCATTTTTCAGCTGATCTCTCAGTGGAATATAGGGTGTGCTGACATATGGTAGTTTGTCCCTCGTGATCCAGGTCTTTTTTCCAATAACTCCTCAGCAAACATTCTGAAAGCTTTGTTCATTGTTATACTGGTTTCTGACCTATACCGCACTAATGCAGCTTTAAATAAAGGCTCCTTCAGACACTGCTCTCCAAATTATACATTCCTTTAAATCCAGCTGATGGCAGAGGAGCAGTCCATTGAAATTAATATATTCAAAGATCATTAATTACAAGTTGCATCTAATATTCACCAAGGTGGAAGCCATAACCAGAACTACTGTTACTAGGTTTCAAATCAAATAGAGAGCAGTTAGATTTCAAATCATCAGCTGTCCTCCAACATTTTTAAAAAATACTGCAGGGAGGTGTGAACCCTGGCCATTAAACTGCCCAGTTCACTGCTGGAAGGAGTTTTGTGCCATTATCCCTCTCTGAAATAGGGAATTTCCGTGTTTCAAGTCCCTCACACCCAGCAGAGGGCATCAGCTTACTGCAAACCGGTCCATGAGTTCCGTGGTGTGCCTCCAAGAGATGCGACCCCAGAGCTGGGGATTCCTCAGACAGGAATTCATGGAAGCTTTCAAAAATCGAGCACAGGACAAGAGAAGTGTCACCCACAGCCACGAGGCTGCAGTAGAGCTGACTAAGGCGCAAGATTTGCACTTAAGAGGAATTGATTTTCTTTTTGGGCTTGAAAGAGCTTCGCACCCAATCCCCACACACCTCGATGATTGCTAGTCCTTTCAGAGGAGAGCAGCACACTTTTAGAGATACATTTGAATTTTACTTTCCACTATAAAGCTTGGCTTAGATCTCCTGCCTGAATATAGCCTCAGAAATGCAGTATTGGGTAGCCAAGGTGGCACTCACAGCAGGACTCTGCTGTCATGGGCAGAGTGGAAAACTTTCCCAGACAAACAGGGAAAATTCCCCAGACAAACAGGGACAGCATTTTACCAGAGCAGCTACAACAGCAGCCAGAAGCAGCCGAGCCTGAGGCTGGGGTAGGGACAAGACAAGAGAGGGACTTCCCCTGGTTCTCCCACCATAACCAAGTGGTGAGAAAATTGCCCTAATTTTTCTCTTCTTCCCTTCAGTAGCCCTGTGCATTTACTCAGCAGCAGATTAAATCCGGATCACACACTAAGTGACTTGGCTTTCTAAGCTCTAGTTAGGACAGCATTAACAACTTGTGTCATAAGCTCAGGTCTCCATCTCACCCACAGATGTCAGCATTACCTACTGCAACCACTCCATGCAGAGCTCCAGCCGGCAGCCTCAAGTAAAAGCAATTCTCTTCTATCGTCTTTGAATTTCTCCTTGTTATTCTTCCCGTTTTTCTTGCTTTTTAACTGATAGGTCTACCTACTTTTGAATTGATTGTTTTAGCTGCTGAATTAGAACCATGAAGTAGACAACATCAACATTTTAAAAAGAATATATATATGTATGTATGTATACACCACCAAGCACCAGCAGTGCAACTTGGGTAAGCTGGTTACCAGCACCATCACAACTTAAATTCTCAAAGAGAAGTCACTGGGAATTCAAAGATCCTACTCAATTCACAGCTCTTAAGGCCTCACAAGTCATCTGAGAAATATTTTAGAATAACCACTTGGCTTAAAGGTAGAAAATAAGATTTTAGCAAATGTCAGTAACATAAGTTTTCATAATTCACCATTTCTTTTCCTAGTTAATCTTGCATTAGAGTACCTTTATAATCCAGGTGAAAATGAGTTTTCTTCTCACTTCATCCATTTTCTGTTGTAAGTTTGCAGCATGCGAAAAAACCACCCCCAAACCCCATAAACAACCCAAAACCCCACCCTCAAGGCTCCAAGCTGCTCCTCTCCTTCTGTTTTATAACATGGTAGTGCTCTCCCAGCTGACTTGCTTGTCAGTTTTCAATCAGATGGGCTGGATCTTGACAGCTGGCTTCAATGCTCCTGGAACTTCTCTCTTAACCATCTCTTTTTAGCAGTCATTATAATTAGAGTGATTATATTTTGGCTTAGTTTTCATTTGTTATCTTTGTGCTGCTTCCTGGGAGTTTCACTTCAGTCTCTAAAAAAGAGAAAAAATTAAGAGATAGTTCTCTGCTAAATACACCTGTGCAGGATGCCAAACCTCCAGCAGGCTCCTTAAATTGTCAGCCCTGAGGGAGCCCCAGACGTCAGCTGCACTGTTCCATGTCTCACCAGTGAGCTCCAAATAACAGTCCTGGGGATTTGGGTGGAATTTCTCAGAGCAGTGAAGGAAGCCAAGCAAAGAGGTGTGTTCTGCCCAGGTGAAGTGCATCAGGATGAAATGCTGAGACTGACAGACCTGTTTGGACAAAGTCACCACTCACCCTCACTGGTTATGTGTGGAACAGGAGGAGAGATTGTGCCCAAGATCTTGTGATCCTGAGGAGCCACCATGGAAAGCAGCTACAGAGTGTACACTTAAAATAAAATTGCCTTCTGTTGTGGGATTCCCAAAATAAAATGCTGGGTAACCTTTGCAGGATTGTTCCCTAAAGATCCAGAGAAGCCTGAAGTGCCAAATGCCTGGATCTGAACTTATGTTTCCCTCGGGATGAAGCTTGGAGATGGGGACAGGGCAGCCAGACAGGCACCAGCAGAACAGATGACTTTCCTTGTGCTTTCTGTTGGACGTGGTCAGTGTAAACAAACTGGGTAGAAAGCAGTAATTTATACTAGGAAAGTTGGTTATATCTCCAGACAAAACCAGAATTTTATTTTTCACAAGAGGTTTTCTTCCTATTGGGTTTGAGTGTTTGGTTTTGCTTTTATCAAAAACCCTAGAAAGGCCAAATTAACCTAGCGTAGCCTGTGCCAACCACCTCTGCTTTATGACTCCCCTGTGTTAATTTCTTGTCTGTGAGCTGCTGACTTCTTTAAGTACAGATTGGGCTGGCTGTGGTTTGGAGCAGACAAGGATGCAGGGCTGCTGTCAGAGGACATC